AGACCCAGGCATTTTGCAATTGTTAATGTAATGATGCTTTTCCTCCTAAGTCATTTTGATTGTCTAGTATTGACAGAAGTTTGTACTTCAATTTGTAACTGGGAGGAGGCTCCTAATAAACCAATTTCTTCATGAAAGTAGTAACCTTTAGTGTATCAGGCGAGCCTACCTACTAAGAGATACAGTGATTGCTCAACTTATATGCCTAATGAATCCTTATTCCTATGTTTCCAGAGAGCACTGTTTAAAAAAAAAAAAAATCTCTGGAATATTGTTCATCTTTGTTGAAAAATATGTTGTGTGACCTCTATTAATTGAGTTGTTAGTATGTACTATTTGACATTGATGAACCAAGTAAACTAACCCCCTATTTTTACACAACATTCATTCTAGTTAATCTCTCAAAAAAGGTAGAAATAGCTTGATTAATAGCCATATTTAAATAATTTTATGCTATTAAATCAATTGAAATGATAATGTATGATTATAAACTCTGAGGGGACAAGAGCTTTGTTTGAAGTTTTTGATATATCTAAAGATAGAGCACACAGTAGTCACATAGTAATCATTTAGTAAATATTCATCAAATGAATAAATAATTCCAAATGGTGGGGTATTGTGATGGAGTTTTTAAATTCTAAATTGCTCTGCCAATGAAGACATTCTTTCGTGGCTAACTACGTAACTAACTGCTTAATTGTCCCCTAACTACTTAAAATATTCTGTCATTTGGTTGAGGGATAAAACATCTAATCTAATACCTTGATCAGTTGTTCTCAAGTCAGTCAATTGGGAGTCCATTTGTCACATACAGTCCTTAGGCCTTTCATTAGTAGTGTTTGATTCAGAATAGTTAAATGTTAGTTTGTTCTCCCTTAAGTAACTATTAGGAAGCCTACTCTCATGAAATGATGCAAAACAACCTTAGGAATGTATAATAATACAAAGCATATTGAAAAAATCCTCTTTTCATCTCAAAATATTCACTAATTTCATCATTTATTAAAAATAATACTAAACGTTGACTGTTTCTGGTGACTGTATTTTATTATTAATTTCCAAGTTTTCCTTAAAAGATATTCCTTAGACAAAAAAGTGTAGACTGCCCATGATTGCAACCCCTTTCAGTTACTGCAGGCAAATCTAAGGCGGGGCGGGGCGGGGCGGGGCGGGGCGGGGAGGGTGGGTGGTGGCGTAGCACCACTCAGGACCACTGCTATGTACGCCATATTCTCTCTTTTACATGTGCTATGTTTTTGGCTCAAAAAGAGTGAGCTGAAGGCAGTTTAATATCACAGAAGCTGCTGTGTTCTGCCTGTGCATGTATATTCACCAAGAAGATTCTAGAAGGAGATGTTTTCCCCGAAGTCTCCCATTACTGGCAGTCTTTCCAGTCTCCTCAGCAATCTCCTTTCCACCCTTTCTCCTCATGCCCTCCAACACGATCCAAGATAGCTGCTGCTTAAGGATTTTATGATTGCATTAACATTATTTTGGACTATTTTCCAAACTTGAAAGATAATTTAGGAATGCAGATATCATGTATATTAGGTATCTGTCTTTAACTGCAGTCATGTCTTTCACTGAGGAACTTTTGTTTCAAGGAGAAACCAGCAACGAAACCAGAAGTGAAATATAAAGACCCTTCCAGACAAAACAGATTTACAAATGTTTCAACTTTCTTTTGAACAAGTTTCTTCTGAAAGGTTGTCTATTGGATGTAGGTTGTTTACATATTCGTGGACTAAATGCGTCAAATTTTGGTGAAGGAAAGAGAAAATGAACAGAAAGAATGACAGTAGAGAAGTACCTCTTAGCTGGATTCAATTGTCTCTGTACCCTACCAGAAGGTCACTCCCATTAGTATATAGCCCAGGCAAATATTACATTATGAGAGGTAGGTTTCTACGCAGGCTCCTCTTCTTGAAATGTAATTATCTTTAGGAACAATTCTTGAGATGCTTTGGGTGTTTCTCCAGTCCCACCTTCTTTCTCAGCATATATTTATTCAGTATGTTCAATGACTTATACAACTTTTAAATACATACTCTGAAATTTGGAATGTTTATACTTTGCAGTTACAGATACTTTATCTTTCAAATTGCTCTCATGTATATAAATACACATCTACCTGGGAATCCAAATTATGTAGTAAAATACATTTAATTGAAAATGAATCTGGCTTTTCATTTGGTGGTTAGCATTTCCCCTTTATTCCTGGCAAGTTTTTTTCTTCTTTATTTTCTTTCTCTCATTGCACATGTTGATCCTTTTGAAAAATGAATGTTTGCCAAATCTAGTTTCAGTTGGAAGGGAAGGTTGGGGGAGGGTGGATACTAGAGATTCTGACCAGAAATATTGGCATCTGATTTCCAACACAGAGGTAGGCTATATATGCCTGGTTAAGTGGTTAAATCACAATGACACTGATTGTTATTATAAATCATGCTTTGGGAAAATGAGTTTTTGTGACTCGTGACACCTAAACTCACTTTTATTTTTCATTTGTATCTTAGGAAAAAAAAAAAAAACGTGTGGAAGATAATAAACGTTGTTTCTTCCTCTAGTTTGGCCAATTTTTACTTGTAACTTTATGCTGTACTCTAGAGACATGAAGCGTATTCAGAACTTGATCATTTATTTAAAAATGTAGAGAGAAACTGTAGGCTTTAGTTGGGATTTGTTTTCTAAACACAGAGAAAAAGGTTTTTTGTTTTTGTTTTGTTCTTTTTTTTTTGGTCTCGACGTACTTGATTTGAATCCACAGCAATGACCAAAAATTCTTAGGTTGATTTGGACAGGAAATAAACAACTTCAAGAATTGTAGTGGTTTAAACCCTTTCTTATTGAAATAGTATCCCATCACTTGCTAACAACCTGCACTATCGCTCTTCATGTGGTATCGATTTTATAAAGGTGCTTCATGTATGTTGGTTCTTGGGTCTGCCACTGTGTGTCCGATATGGCTGCTAATAAAGAATCTTCAGTAGGGCAAATATGAAACAGCATTGTCAAGTTTTGGGGCAGTGGGTTTGTATAAGAAAAATGAGGCACACGGTAAGATTCTGCCAGCTCTTTCAGATATCTTGCCTTCACCAACAAACTGAAGAGTTGTGAAAAATATGCCTTCGCTTTAGACACTCAGAGGAAATATTTAAAAAGAGATTAAACAAGAAACCAGGCGCCTCTAAGTAGAGTAAAAGAAAAACATTAAAATTTCATAATAGTTCTAGAATTTGCTCGATAAATCTACACTGGTATCAGAATAATGTCCCAGACAATGAAAGTACTGTGAGCCCTAAGGTTAAGTGAGAGCTTGTAAGGAAAATTATAGCTGCACGAAAACATTGTAGACTTCTAAATTTTAAAGGCATTAAACATAAAGGATAAACACGTACTTTGCTCATTTCCTTGGATTAAGTATGGTATTTTAGAAAGGTGTGCACTTTCCCCATTATACCCATCAAATTTTGAAAACTCAAATTTCAATCTGCATGTAGTCATAGAGAATATTTGACTTGTGTTTATTTGCATGCGTTAAAACAAACCAAAGTACTGAGTATAACTTATGGGAAAAATCTAATTTGTAAGTCTGTTTACATTTCAACTGAAATGTCTTAAGAGTTAAGAATCATGACACTGTATCTTGGGGTATTTGTCTTTCAACCGTAACTGACTTAATAAGAGAAATGGAAATATATTTTTCTGTTTAAAATTTTTGTATTTAAAGATCATTAAAGCTGGGCTATCTCATCACCATTATTAAATTACTATAACTACTGCTTTGGGAGCTAGAATATATTTACTGCTGATTAGTTCTTTACTGTATTTTATTCTAAAAAGATCTGACTGTCATTAAGAAACAACAAATTAACCTCAATTTACAACTCTTCCTTTTATTTTTTAAGAAGTAAATTTTAATAACTCATAAAAACTAGAAATAACCTCAAATATAGAACTGAGATTTATGTTAATTTAGCCACAACCTGAGACTTAATATAAGAGTGTATTAAATGTGTACTATGAAAAGAAAGATATAAAAGAGTACTCTATAAAACTGGTGGCAGAATTTTCAGTGTGCTGCTTAAAACTGGCTTTGCCCCCACCCCAGGACATCTATGCCCCATGTATCACTGTGCTGTGTTAGATGCGTGGCTATAAAATTGTGAAAATGAAGACTTTTCTGGTAGCAGAAGGGTTAAGTTCTTTTTGCTTTACCAGTTTCAAATTACAATGAGAAGCCTCTTCTTTCCCAGCAGGGTTGTGCTTACATTACTCTTTAGATCTCCCTTGAAGAGGGCTGGTATATTTGTGCCTGCTGGAGGTGGAATTAACAGTTAGAAGGAGAAAGGGATTGAATGGACTTACAGGAAGGTTTTCAAGTAAATTCAGGGAAACACATTTACTTGAATAGTACAACCTTGAGTCTTATTTTACACTAAGACGACACAAAAGATGTTAAAGTTATCACCAAGCTGCCGGACAAATATATATTCCAACACCAAGGTGCAGATCAGCATAGATCTGTGATTCAGAAATCAGGATTTGTCTTGGAAAGAGCTCAAGGGTTGAGAAGAACTCAAGAGCAAGTGAAGATAACTTTGGGAACTACAGTTTATCAGAAGATCAACTTTCCTTGATTCAAATACCAAAGGCCTGATTACCATAAATTCCTATAGGAATGCATAGGTCATCTGATCAAATAATTTTATCTGTCTTCTGCTACATCAATGCAGCAAAAACTCTTAACAACTGTGGATAATTGGAAATCCAAGTTTCAGCTTTCTTAGAAATAACTATTCTTGACATATTCCAAAATATTTAAAATAGGACAGGAAAATCAGTGAGGATGTTATGTTCTGAAATGTCACTGTCATGAAGAATAGGTAAATTTGTTTTTTCAGCTACTGGGAAAACGCACCTCCTAGGAACTTAGATTTTTTTTTTTTTTAAAGAGGACAAGAAGGACTAAAAATATCAACTTTTGCTTTTGGACAAAAATGCATCTGACTGTATTTCTACTTAGGAGTATTGTGGGTTTCCTCTGGAGCTGCTGGGTTCTAGTGGGTTATGCAAAAGGAGGTTTGGGAGACAATCATGTTCACTCCAGTTTTATTTATAGAAGACTACGGAACCACGAAAGACGGGAAATACAGAGGGAAATTCTCTCTATCTTGGGTTTGCCTCATAGACCCAGACCATTTTCACCTGGAAAACAAGCTTCCTCTGCACCTCTCTTTATGCTGGACCTATACAATGCTATGGCCAATGAAGAAAATCCCGAAGAGTCGGAATACTCAGTGAGGGCATCCCTGGCAGGAGAGACCAGAGGAGCGAGGAAAGGATATGCAGCTTCTCCCAATGGGTACCCTCGTCGCATACAGTTATCTCGAACGACTCCTCTGACCACCCAGAGCCCACCTCTAGCCAGCCTACATGATACCAACTTTCTGAATGATGCTGACATGGTCATGAGCTTTGTCAATTTAGGTATGTTGTTCTTTTATTTGTTAAACGATGTTATTACTAAGTGGAAGTTTTTCTAATAGTAAAGTAGCAGCCTGGTAGGTGGTCATGTTTATATAAAGTCATTTTCTGTAACTCTCTTCTCCAGCTTCTGTTTCCTCTCTTTCATTGATACAATGTAAGATTTTGCTTTAGGCAACAAAGTCATACACACAGGTACATATATTTAATTTTTTAAATATGAAAAGCTAAAATTAAACACTTATAGTCAGGTAGATTTAGGTCCTTGAAATCTTGTTAAAATTTCAGTCATGCTTTAATGTGTAAATAAATAAGGCAGTAGTCTACAAAAAAGGAAAATTTATGAGGATAGCTGTGCTATGGGCAAAAAAATAATAATACAAATAAAAAAGAAGCGTTTGTAGATTGAAAACTAAAGTGTCTTTTTGGAACATTTTTTTGTTAGCAATTTAACAAACATGTAAGTATACATTTATTTGCCACCTAAAAACTCTCATTTGGCCGAGTCAGCTATTGTGAAAATATCAACATACAATTAACTAAGATCAAATAATTCTGAAAAAGATTACTATCAAAGATTTTCAGGGAGAGATTCTGAAAGTGTGAAAAATACTTTGGAAAAGAAGCTTCAAACTAACATTTCTTAACTTCTTAATGATGAAACGGTATCATACCCATTTGATTGTTTCCAGAAGCAAGAGAAATATAAAACATGCTATGATGGTCTCTACTTATGCAAAATCTTCCCTTTCCTTTAGGATAAAAAAAATGAATCAAAAACTTTTTTGATTAGCAGCATTATTAGAGAATACTTTTTTAAAAAATTATGTTTTACTCAAAGCTGATATTTTTGTGGCAGATTTAAAATATTGACAATATCAAATGGTAAATTAGTGCCCAGTATTTCATCTCTTAAAAATATTAAGGAGTTACCAATTTAGAGTGATTTCACAGGGCTGTATTTTTAAAAATGTTTTAGTAGAGACTAAAGATGAAAATTCGCTATCTTCAGACATTCAAAAAAATAACGTGGTATATAGTCAGTTTTGAAGACAAAATTTTATGAACAAATGTAATCAACTTGAAAGAATTAGAAACATTTTAATGTAAGAACTTTCGAAACTTTGTTTGAAAACTGTAATCTGCTTTGACTTAAAATTGACATGTTTTATCATACTTAATTAAAAACTTCCTTGTATAACATCTCAAAGAAAATAGTCTTTGAAAAGTCAGATAGCAACAAATTCAAATACATGAATGTTTTTGTAAAACATGTTGCTTCATATGCTCTGTTCATTTGCTCTTCGCAATCCTAGCATGAAGGATAAGGTGCTTAATAAATCAAGTTTCGTGTTGCTAGAGACAGAGGTCTCATTATTATAAGTTTCAGTAAGTCATCATTGGTTGCCCTAATCAGGTGTCCTGGAGGCCTTTTCTTCTACATACAATTAACAGGTTTCATTTGGAACCTTCAAGCCATTGAAATATGGTTTAATTTTAAATTAGTTTGATTGCTTTTTCCTAGTATAAGTGATATGCAATGTGGCTCATGGGATGTTTTACTTTGTTGCAATTTCTAAAGTATTATTCAGTAATTTAAAGGAGTTTTAATATTCTAATAGAAGAATTTCAATCTAGCATGATTTACATATGCATAAAACATATCACTGAAAAAATTAGTTCCGGTCACCTAAAATCTGACAGGGCAGACTGTGTCATGTATTTTAAAAAACAATAGCTCAGTCATGAATCTGTTCTAAAATATATATTTTGTTGAAATCAAATATTTTGATCATTCACAAAAGAAATATATTTGTTTTAGGAAGGAATTAAGTAGGATTTTTGAATCTGTATGCCATTACTTTTTATACATTTACACAGAATAAGAAAGCCAAAAACAATAATAAACAGTTTTAGTCAGTGACTTTTAGGGCCATTTTTATCATTAAAGTATACTTATATTTTTAAATCAATGAAATTTTGGTTGTATTGTTTGGATTATAACAACAAAGCAGTTTACTAACTATACCATGAAACACAATTATTTATCTTACTCTAGAGAAACAATATTAGATATAAACTTCAGAAGATATTTATTTTTATCATGCTTGAACTGCTGAATAGTGATTTATCCTCAATAATGAATTGTATTGCTTTTTCTCTATTTAATAATACAAAACTAAATGTCTCATGTAAAATTACTGACAAATTGATTCTGGTACTGAGTTTTTTCTAGTAGCCTCTGAGGAAAATTGAACCACAACTTTATTTTAACCTTAGACTGTGCCTTCTAATATATCCAAAGCTTACAATCAAACACTACTTAGTAAAATGTTTTAACTTCTGTATTTCTTCCATAATAAAATAGGTCAAAGCAGACTTAGAAAAGGTTAAAGTGTAATATCATGATTAACTGCACTAAGAATGTCAGTGGTTCTTAATGTAACATTCATTAACAAATAGTATTTTTTTATGTTCTTAAAAGACTCAGGAGGATTTTGTTCATTTATTTATGTTAGTATCTTAAAAGATATGCATATTGTGGAAACTAAGGGCAAATGATCAAATTAGCCATAAGCAAGGGATTTGTATTGAGGAAGTCACCTGGATATTTAAATATGTGAAAAGAATCTGTTGACAGTTCCCATAATAAGCTGAATTACACTAAAAAGATATGTCCTTTATAAAAACACAAATCTGTGTCATTTTCAAGTCAAATGATGGATTTTCTAGAATTATCTTGTCATTCAGAAAGACATTTTTTCTAACGTTAGTTTTGCTCATCAAGATCAATTAAACTCTGAATCACTTAACAAAATAATCTATTTTTAAAAATTCCAGATGAGATTAATTTTTTTTCATAAATGAAAAATAGATGAGAATTTCCTAAAAGAAAAAATAAAATGTGAATAAATTGCCTTAATGCTGATATAAACAACTGAACATGAAAACAAGCACCTTATTTTGACCTTTAATTTGTTTAAGTGATTTGGGTACTCTGAAGAGACAAATATTAATTATTGTGTGAAGAGAAACTTTCCACTCTATTGGATTCATTATTTTTAGGCCAATTTTTGTCAGTCTCTAGTGTTCAGCTTTTACAGGTTGACTCTTCTGCTTTGTCCCTAAAACTGTTGATCATTCCAGGCGTCCTTGCTCAGTCAATACCATGTCATTTCGTTGAGAACAAAAATATCTTTCTAGTAAATCTTTTCTTTTTTAATCATCTTTTTCAAAAATATTAAGGATCAGTTTATACATCAGATATCTACGCAAATAAAAGAAAAGATTAGGGAACTTGTTTGCAATTTTTAAATAAATCTGTTTACATTAAGATAAACATGTAGTGTATTTCTAAGATCTTTTACAATTTTGTTTGATTACTTGGCAATAGTACAATTAAAATGATACAACACGTGGATGTTTTAGAGGAAAGCACAAAAAACAGTGAAACAGGAAATTTACTTTCATGGTGTTCCCTGTCTACATGTATTTCTCTGATAAAGATGGAGGGTTTTTTGTTTTGTTTTGTTTTGTTTTGTTTTTTTAATGGTTTCTGGTCAGTTGACTTGGAGTCAAAAACTTCTTAGATATATTTTAAGAACATGTATTAATTCTAAGGGATGAAAGTACATGAATGTGTTGCTTGGATTTTTTTCATATTTTATAACAACATATTTAGCATGTTAAGATATGAAATAGAAAAAAAAAAATACTTTCAAAACTTTGAGTTAAACCCTTCTCCTCTTACTTCCCCAAATCATTAAACTCTCCCGGTACTGGAAGAAAAAAATGCTTATGTTCTCGTTTGACAGGTTTGAAAGACATCATTGATATTTATTGTTGCTTTTGGCTGACTCAAGTGCCCAGTGGAGAGGAATTTATACACAGATCTACCTAAAGATGCCTATCTGTGTAGTCTCTCCAACAGGGTTATTAACACTTGTGTAACATAAACTTACCTATAAACACATGCAAGATTTTTTGGGGGGAGGGGGCAGTGATGGGAATGTTGACAAGATGGTCTAAAACCATTATAGTACATATTCATAGATCCGCCTGGAATAACAAATGCTAATATTGGGTGAAACAATACTTCTTTTACACCTTTAACTTTTGAAGAGAGAAGAGGCTTGGGAGGGTGGAAATCTTTCTACTCTCTTCTTTAACAACCTTTTGCATTCATGATCGTGACCCAAGGGATTCTTGTTCTTTAAAGCCATATTATTGTCAAATGACAGGCATGGCTGCAGTGATAGGTATAATCATATAGTTTAATTAAAAGATTTTTCCTAATGTTAATAGCCACTCACAAATAGCCAGTTGTAAAAGTTTATTCAGAATTAACAGCTGGAACTGTGAAGGTATGATAACATAAATTCAGAGGGCATGGGGTGGCCTCACCCACTACTTCCAGTTCCCTCCTTTCATCCATTTTTTCAGTATTGCCTCCCTCTCTCACCCCCTTCCCTCACATGACTTGGCCTTTCCTCTTTAGTTCGATGGTCTCTACCTCCAGGCTTTCTTGGCACTCCTCTCTTTCTGTCCCCACCCCTTCCTGGGGTCCGCTTTTGGTCCTTGTTTCTTCATAGCTGGAGGCTGAGATTAGCTGAAAATCAATTAGTTACAGCTTGATCATTTAGGTACAGTCTCCTGTTTCTCTGGAGTTGAAAAGGAAAAGGTTATGATGTGCGAATTGCAGCCTCCACCCATCAGGAGAAAAGCTCCCCAGGGCATCAGAACTTCTCTGGCTGTTGCCATCCCCTGGAACTATTTCTCCACCATCCCATTCTTCTTTGCCTCCTCACCTCTCCCTGAGGATCCCATTGACAGAACTTAATTGTTTTTGCCTTCCCTATTTTATTACATAATTAAAATTTAAAAGGGGAAATGTAAGGGAAAGTTAGAAAAAAATAAGAAAAAACTGCAGCGCTGAACAAAGATGACACAAAAAAAATGCAATTCTGTTAGTTTATGAAATGCTTTAGCTTACATCATTTTTA